GTGATTGATGAGTAGTAAATAATGTCATGTGTTTGTTGATTAAAGACAATGTTTCTGAAGTAGAAACAGACGAAGAAATGAAGTGTTTCTGCCTCCACTTCAGACTCAGAGCTGGACTTTAGTCTGGGATCAAGTTATCACACACACACACACACACACACACACACACACCTCTGTGCTGCACATGTGGGTGAATGTTAATTGCTTCCAGAGGCAGGATGTGACATGAGCCCCTCCCTCCTTTTACTCTCCCTCTCTCTCCCTCTCTCTCCCTCCATCTCTCTCCTTCTCTCTCTATCTCTCTCTCTCCTTCTCTCTCTCTCTCTCTCCACCCAGTTTCTGAGGAGACCAACCCTCTCCACTGGTCCACAGTCCCAGTCTGGGACTCCAGGGTTAGTGTCTAAAAACTGGATTCTCCTGTTCTTAGAAATGTCAGCCCCTGGAGGAATTGAGTTTGTCACCCCCTGCAGGGTGGGTGGGGTGGATACAAGTTATCAAATGTATTTGGAAGAGTTCATATTTGAAGTCTTCATACACTGCATACTGCAAATAAGTGCAAAGTACTGTGTTGTGAGCGTGTACCTGTTGAGCCCAGGGCTGACAGGAAGTCCCAGAGCTGGTCACGTTCACGCCGCCCTGGTAGAAACGACCTCGGTCGTTGTAACAGGACGCTGAGTTCAAATGGTTCAAATAGTTACAATGGTTAGTTCTGCTGTTGAGAGTACTGTATATGAGGTCAAAGGTCAGTACTCACTGGTGACGTGGTCTTTCTTCACATCTAAAGAGAGAAAGTGAACAGGGTCAGAGGTCAAATCCCGGCCTAGAGTGTGAAGAAGAATCACGCACTCGGTGGTTTCTTACCTACAAAAGGGACATGAGTGCAAACCTCTGGCTCTGGGCCCAGGCTGGGCAGGACCTGACAGTTGGGCAGCGGTGAACTGGGAGCACTGGAACCAGTGACCGAGCTGAAGAGTCCGGACTGGAGCAGGGCCAGCCACTCTTTCTGACAGTAGAGCTCCTTCACAGCCAGACAGTGTTCTCTGATGGATGAACACACACACACACACACACACACACACACGTACGTGTGTCAACCAACAGACCGTAGTGTCTAGAACTTGAGCTCAGGTCTGATCAGACAAACATTGGTTCTAAGTCCAGTCGCAGATGTGATCCGGCACGAACCACGAGGATATATTTTATAAGACGTAGAGCTTCAACCGTACATCAACAAGAGCGCCACCTCCTGCTCACCTCCTGCTCCTGGAATCTTACATTTTCTTTCGCTAACTCTACTTTACCCAGTGAAAGTGAACCAAGACCCAGACCAGTCTACCTGCAGACGGGTTTGGGTGCAGGTCCCAGTCCTGATGGGTTGCAGTCAGGGAAGGAGTGATGACAGAGTAGAGAACGTAGAGCTGGAGCACACAGAGGACCCAGGCCGTCCAGATCTGTCGACCAACTCTGGACCTGATCCTCCTGCGTGTCCTCGGAGAGAGAGGAGTTGAAGAAAACCAGAGAATGATCTGGAAGGACGGTGCGGCAGACGTCTCCTCTGTAGGCGCTGCAGTACCCTGCCACGCCTTTGTAGAGTCTGGGAGAAGAAGAAGGAGACAAAGAACTGGCGTCTCCGTTTAAAACAAAAAAAATAAGGGGACGGACGGACGGGGGGGGGTCGTCAGTTATGAAAATACCCTGAGAATATTTGATTTGGTGATGAAAGAAAAAAAAACAGGTTTTATGTTCGGCTAACCTTGGCTAACCTTGGCTAACCTTTAGCTTTCATAACACATGAATAAAACTGCGTTGGCAGCCAATATATTTATATATGCATGTACATTGTACTGGGTTAGTTGGCTAGTTGGTTAGTTGCTTTTATGTTCACTAAAGGATGTATCGGCTAACCTTGGCTAACCTTGGCTAACCTTGGCTAACCTTTGCTAACCTTTAGCTTTCATACCACATGAATAAAACTGCGTTGGCAGCCATTATATTTATATATGCATGTACATTGTACTGGGTTAGTTGGCTAGTTGGTTAGTTGGCTAGTTGGTTAGTTGTTAGTTGGTTAGTTGGTTAGTTGGTTAGTTGGCTAGTTGGTTAGTTGGCTAGTTGGTTAGTTGTTAGTTGGTTTGTTGGTTAGTTGGTTAGTTGGCTAGTTGGTTAGTTGGCTAGTTGGTTAGTTGGCTAGTTGGTTAGTTGTTAGTTGGTTAGTTGGTTAGTTGGTTAGTTAGCTAGTTGGTAAGTTGGTTACTGATAAGTCAACAGCTGAAGCATTTTAGGAAATACAAAAATATAAAATCAAGGTCAAAATGTCATCAATAACATTGTCGTCACGGCCTGGATGCAGGGGCTTCGTGGGCCAGATGTGGCCCCTGGACCTGGAGTTTACCAACCACGCAGGAACAAAAAAAACTATAATATATATATATATAATATAACGAGCAAAAAGAAATAAATAAATATTATTTTGTATTAGTAATTTGGCATTACTGACATAAAAAGATAAAAATACTATCATGTACTATTGTGTAGTAATACTACTGTGGTGTTTGAAGTTGTCAAAGCATGGTGAGGCTCTGTAATACTTCAGGGCTGTATTTCACCTTCCCTTCATCAGGTTTCCGACTCAAACCTCGTCTTCATCACATGATCTACGACCGACGTGCACGAATCAAAAGTGGTGATAAATTCTCTTACCTCCATTCTACGGAGAAGTGACAAAGTCCAGAAGACGATGGACGAGGGAGAAGAAGGAGGGAGAAGAAGGAGAGGAGACGAGACAGAGAGGTTAGAGGAGACACAACCATGACCTGCTCCCACTGAGCCACAGCTGAGACTGAGGCTCCACCAGGTGGACACACACACACACAGGCAGACAGACGGGGTGTGTGTGTGTGGCCAAAAGGAGTGTGTTTTTGTTTTTCTGGGGTGTCAGGGACGAACAGCTGAGGACACACAGGACGTCACTGCAATAACACTGAGCCACAGCACATGGATCAGTGTGTGTGTGTGTGTGTGTGTGTGGTGACCTCACCTGTGACGGTGACTCTGGCTGTTGCTTTGACGGTGTTGGCTCCGGCGCTGTGTCTGTTGGACGCCAGGCAGGTGTAAAGAGCCGGTTTGTTGACCGTCACTCTGAGAACGGACAGAACCGCTTCTCCCACCAGAGTTTCTTCAACTGCCGCTCCTGAGAGCTGAGACACAGTATTACTGTACTGGACACAGTATTACTGTACTGGACACATATTACTGTACTGGACATGGACACAGTATTACTGTACTGGACAGAGTATCTGTTTTCTCCTCATGTTACTACAACAAAAAGTTAAAAACTACCTTGTTATATACATACATGTATGTATATGTATATGTATATACGTATATATGTATATACATGTGGCGCTTTCACCCAGAGCCAATGTCTCTGTCATTGGTGTGGAACCCCAGGGTTCACCTCCTGGGCAAGTTCGAATCTCGGTCAGGGCGGCTGGTACCTTCCAGTGGACTCACCACCCGTAGGAAGCTTTGGGGGGTTGGTACGGTGCAGTGTGATGTGGGTGGAGACTGCTGCCCCCGCGACCCGGTAACGGATAAGCGGATGAAAATGGATGGATGGATGGATGGATGTATATACATATACTTATATATGTATATACATCATATATATGTATATAGGTATATACATATATACGTATATATGTATATACATTATATATGTATATAGTACATATATATGTATATATGTATATACATTACATATATATGTATACAGTACATATATATGTATATATGTATATACATTATATATATGTATACAGTACATATATATGTATATATGTATATACATTATACATATATGTATACAGTACATATATATGTATCCCTCTCCTATCAGTTTTGTCCCACCGTGAAAAGGTCAAATCCACGAAGTAGTCGAGATAGTTATTATATTATTAACGTATATATTATATATTTACCCTTTATGAACCTCCTCCCCCCACTCTGTTATCACCCCCCACCCACACATACACAGTTATATTCACAGAAGTAAACGACTCAGAGTGGCCGACAGACAGGGGGAGACACTGAGATGCTATGATGCATGAGCCAATCAGGGTGTGGAATAGAAGAGCACGCTCCAGTACACCAAGTACACCAAGTACACCAAGTACACCAAGTACAGTAGTATACTGTGTACAATCTGGTCCAGGTGAACTAATCTACCAGCAATCGTTCGCAAATGTCTTATCGCAACTTCAAAATCAGAATCCACATTTTCAAAGACAAAAAAACGTGTGTTTTTTTCTGTCCTGTTGAATTTACTGTCACACACACACACACACACACACACACACTTTCATTAGTCATTACGAGCCTGTAACCACATTAACATGTCCACTGTGATAATGGACCAGCTTCCCATTAGAGCCCACCGCCCCCCCCCCCCCCCCCCCCCCCCCTGCCCTGCTCTTTTTTTCCTTTCCCTCCTCCGCGCGTGG